AAGTTTTCCTAATGGAAAAAATGGGTTTCCATTCCAAGCCTAAATAATGATTTCTTTTAAGTTGTTACCCATGAAGATTGGCATTGATTCTTGTAAAAAAAAAACAAACAAACAAACGCATCGGGTTGGTGATGAAAATATAAGGTTTTTTCACTTAATACTTTAACGGTACAAATATTAATAACCTTTTTTTTTTACATAAACGAAAGGTTCGAATTCTCACACCGTATTTTTTTACTTATAAAAGAGAGTGAGAAAAAAATTGTAAGTGTACTTGTTATTTTTTGGAGAATTAATTACTCATCCCTAGTTTGTTAACTATTTTTTTTTTAGTATTTTGTTTATGAAATTGTTATTTCGTGCTTATAGTTTCTTTAGTAATATGTTTTAACATTTATTGGAAATACATTTTAACTCTCGTCAAATTTTAGAAAAAAAACAAGTTTTTTAAAACTACTTTTTTTTTTAATATAGTTTTCAAATTTTAGCTTAGATTTTGAAAATATTTTAAAAAAGTATATGCAAAACAAAGAAATACGTAGATACCCTAAAAAAACGTAGATAAATAGTATTTACTAGTTTAGTTTTTGAAAAACAGAAAATAAAAGATAACATGACTATCAAATGGGTTTAAACTAAGAAAAAGAGGGGAAAAAATATGTGGAAGTATAAACCAAGTAATAAATTATGTAATATGATCTTAGACTTAGATTATGTCATATGACTAAATAATTTGATTCAATTTAATTATTCAATTAAGTCAAATTTTCGCCAAAAGCGAGCATAGCTCAGCGGTAATTGGCATATATATACTTCCAATTACAAAGTTGTGAGTTCGAATTATGTCTCTTTAAAGTTTCAATTTTTTAATGGATAGATCTCTACATTTAGAAGTGCTAAATAAATTCTTAAATTTTCAAATTTTGTGTCTAACAGATCTTTGGTATATTCAACATTTCCAAATTTTGTCTATCAGTTGTCATTCAAGTTGCTATGACGGGCCATAGCTAGTAGCTTTAAGTCTAACTTGGTTCTACAATGAAACCCACCTAGTTTTCATATTAAACTATTGGACCAACATATATTGTTGGATATGGGTATTATATGACAATCTTGGAGGGAAAATAACATTCAAGGATAAATTTAATCAAACTATTTCCATCCTAAACTTAACTTTAGATAAATCAAACAATATTATATCTTAACACTTAATACAAAATTCAAACAATATCTATGCTAAATAGCATAGTGAAAGTGCATCTAGCCATGTTGGGAGCTTTATTTATTTATTTATTATTATATTTATTTTTTATTTTTTGTTGCAAGATCAACTGAAATAGGAGTGAACTATGTAGGCATAGTTGTCTATGTTGAGAACTTTAACTTGGACATCTTATTTATGAGTCGATGGATCGTCTAATATAATAGATAGATGGATAATTTATATTAACGATTGGAGTTAATCTCAATTAACCACCAAGCACCATATACAAACAAGACAACAAAAGCATAAAATGGAGTGAACGATTGGGAGATCATTCATCTCTAGAGAATTAGAATTCTCAAAAAGTATACATGGATCAAATTAAAGAAGGAAGGAGAGACAATTGCCCATTAATTTGTCTTTCTAATATATATATAAAATAATTGACTTTGGTATTTTTTTTAATATAATTTCTCTCTAAAGTTTTTAAAATTTAAAGATTATATATGGTTGGATTTATTTATTAAATTCAAATTTAAAAATATTTGAATTTGAATTCAGAGAATAGTTTTAATAACAGCTTTCCTGTCAAAGTGAGCATAGTTCAGCGGTAATTGGCATATATCTCCAATCATCAAGAGATTGTGAGTTCGATCCCCTACCTGCATATTGTTGTATTCAAAAAAAATAAAAAATTGCTCTCCTACAAATATCTCTCCCCTCTCGAGAGGATACTGAGAAATACAAAGATAGACCTTGAGTGGTATCTTTTTTTTTTTTTTTACTTCACCCTGAGTGGTATCAAAGTGACAAATAATAAAAATTATAAAAAACATCTAATAAGTCTCTAAACTTTTCTTTTTGTGTTTAATAGATTCCTGACTTTTTTGAAAAAATTAAAAAATTAATAGATCTATTAGATACTATATTCAATTGGTGTGAACTTTCAATTTTTGTCTAATAGATTCGAAATATATGTATTAGACACAAAATTGAAAGTTGGTAGACGRAAATAAAATTAATTTATAGACCTATTTTGCCCTTTTTTTTAATTTCTAATTTCTCTGAGTGCATAACAAACAAGTTGGAAAATGGAAAACAAAGAATTTGGAATGTGCTCTGAAAAACGTGTGGACGTGTTATTTCTAATAATAAACAGCTAATTTAATTGTGGACGTTAATTAAGACTTGGAAACGCAAAGTTCTATTTGGAGAAGCTTCTAGAAAAAAATTGACAATTTTTAAATAGCTCTACCCCTATTTTTCATCCAAAATTCTGCATTTCTAATTTTTGGTCAACATCCACTTCCATTGGTTAGATTGGAAGTTCAAACCCCACATTTTTGTTGTACTAAAAAACTATTAAGGTTAAGGACGACGGTACCCTTATACTCTCAAACGATACTTTCTCTTTTGGGCATAACATCCAAAAGGCCTCATTGCCATAGAGATGTTGTATCCCTCGTATATATACCCATGATCTTCAATAACCAATGTGGGGTTTTGTTTGCACTTCTTGCTAAATAGAGTGCTACTTGTATCTTGTCTCGAATAATCATGCAACTCATTTACTCATGATTGACAATGAGAGCTTGTTTTTTTTTTAATCCAACATGTCCAGATAGTGCATTTGCTACACGGACCACATTTTGGAAACACTGGTGTTGTTCTATCTCAATCTCCTCCCCTCAATCATAATCATAAAAACAAGGAGGAGTTTTGTAGGAAAGAGTGGTTGTCAAAGACTCAAGCGGCTGGAGCGGACTTCCCGGTCATTGATCACTCTTTTGTATAGGGCATTTTGCCTCTCACAGCTCAAAATTCTTTGAGAACAATAGACTTCCTATCAATCTACCTTGACTTGATAGGGCATGTCGTGCTCATCATTCGAGTATAGAGCACAATTTTCGTAATGATTATAACGCTCACCAATTACTTTTGTTCAGCATCCGAAGATTTCTCCCAACACAACTAGGTTTTTTTTTACCATGGCAATGGTATAACTTTTTTAAGAACAATGACACTCAAAGTATCTCCACAATGATATGATATTGTCCGCTTTGGACATAGCTCCCATTCATCCAAAAGGCCTCATACCAATAGAGATAATTATCCTGATCGACCATGGATCACTGATCTCTTCCCTCCTCAGAACTTTATTTGCACACCTTGCAACCACAATAATAAGAATGTGCCCAAAACTAAGAGTCAAAACTTGGTACTATGTAAAGAAGGGCCATGGTGCGGCTAGTTCACATTGGTATAATATTGTTGAAAGTATCATGCGACCTCGTAGTACATGGATTGTGTGACATAGATTTTTAAACCTCCAAATCATGGATCGTGTGGTGGGCCAAAAATTTATAGTAGATTCCCAACATCTATAAGTATATAAAATCAAATAAACTAAAAATATCAAGCGCAACGTTATAATTAAAAGCGAAATGAACATTGGTCCAAAAAAATAAACCTTAAAAGGGCATGGTTTTCTTTGTTGTTCTTCCTCTTTCCTTATTAAATGATTATTGACAATAATTTAACAATACAGAGAATATAGACTTTATATAATATCTCTACCAAATTTGTTAGTTAAATATCACCAATTGGGTGCAAGTACAACAAAAACTGTGTTTTGAGAGCCAAAGAAGTCAAGAGATATGGATTGTTAAGTGGAGAAAATGTTTGGAAAAAGATAAAAAGATTTTCACAATAAGATGAGGAGAATGCCTAAGTTTTGATTTTTCTAAGTAGTGGACAATTTCCTCGCTTAACTTTTGAAACTTTTGGTTACATAAAGTTTGGTTTTTTTTTTCTTTTTTCTAGATTTTCTTATCTTCCTAAAAAATCCAAATCAACAGATTTGGACTCTTTTGGTAGAAATTTCTTCACTCCCCAAGTCCCAACTGTCCCAATTAGCAAATGAATTGACCTCTCTCTATCTTTCCATTACTTATTTTATCATAATATAAAGTTTTCTCATATAATTGTCACTTATATTTAACAATATAACTAATATTTCAAAAATACTCTAGAAGCACTAGACGAACCAATGTAATAAATATGAAAAAGACAATAGTTGGCAACCGTGGTGGTTTATAGTGGATTAGACCATGACTTTTTTTTCCTGGAATAAAACAAATCTTTGGAGCAAGAGTTCAAACATGTGATCTTTTAGTTGGAGATATATAACTTAATCAGTTGAAACTATATTCACTAGTCTAAATCAAAATTCAATTAGTAATCAACTCCTCCCAAACAACGATAGCCTCGTATATAAACATAACTTGCACAAAACTTTTTACCGGTTCACAACTTTTATCTCAAGACATCTCAATCCCCCTCTTTAGATAATGAGTGATTCTTTGTTTTTCAAGCTTGGTGTACATTATGAGACAATGTCATATTTCATAAAAGAGAAGTGTGATCATAGTACCCACATCCACCATCAAATTTTATAGTCGTTTCGACGTCGAAGGTTCGACATCCTAAGCCTAGAATATAAAGCCTAAAAGTAGATCCAGAAGAGTTGTGTTAGCCCTTGTATTTTGTCTCAAATCAAGTATCGAGAAAGAACGTCATCCATAAAAATAATGAAATAGTTCTAAGATCCAAACGAAATATTTACAGAGTGGTAGCATCAAAATCAACCCACCAAGGATGAATGGGTACATAAACTAAATTCACTTCATAATAAACAAAAAAGAGTTTATAGACATAACTTTCTTAAGCCATAAGGTAGCATGTTAGGCCACCATATAATAGCTAGTTAGACCTTGATTACCTTGATTTTGCAGTTTTAGCCTTCGCGTCTCCAATGTCTTCCCGCTCCCTCTTTTTCTTCCTTGCCTTGGAAGGTAGATGCTGAACGATCAGTTTCGGTTTCTTCCCGCCGCAACCGTTCCTCTTCTCCCACACAGTAAGAAATCAGTTCGACTAGAGTCCATTTTTCTTTCTGAGTATTGTAACACACTTTAAGTTGGTTATATCGTGTAGGAAGAGACATCAAAACAAAGTGTATAAGAAGGTCTTCAGAAACCTCCAACTTCAGTGTTCTAAGTCTTGCAGCTAGACTAGCCATTTCCATTATATATTCCCTTATGTTGTTGCCTTTCTCAGTATACCTCATAGTGACAAGCTTAGTCAAAAGGTCTCCTGCCTCTGCATTTTCATTTCTAGCAAAGCACTGCTCTAGTTCCTTAAGGAGTGCTCTAACGTTCGTGCTCTCGAGTATCAAGTCATGAAACATCTTTGAAATTGAGCGCTTGATGATCATCAGACTCATGCGATTGGATCGATCCCATTTCTCGATTTGCATATCGTTGGGATCTTCTGGAGTGGAAATGGGGCGATCCATCCTTAGCGCAAGGTCGAAGGAGGAGCTCGATATCTTCCTTCCACGCCTTAAAGTTAGCACCAGATGAATCTAGAATCATATTGTTGGCTTGAGCAGCCATGTCTGGCATCTGTTGCAATTATCTGTGTAAAGAAAAAAAAAGTCAATCAGTGAAGTCATAAATTAAGCAGTAAATAACATAGAATCTGATGAATCTAGAATCTGGTTGAGTTCCCTCTTTTAAAGATGATGCAATACGACATAATTCAGACATGCTTACTAAAGCTTTACAAAAAACATTAATTAACGAATTAATCAAACTAATTAACTCAAATCAACAAAAACTAAATCGACTAATAAACTAAAACTAATATATTATTCATCCTACATCATAGGCAACTTGACATAATTAAGGGATTACCTAAAGAAATGTTGGATACTTTCCTATGCTACGACTAAAAGATTTAGCATGAAAATCAAAGCACATTAGCTTTATCCAAAAATCCCACTTACCATGAAAAAAACGAATCACATTGACATCCGATATCACTATGTTATAGACATTGGACACAGGAGACGGTAAGAAATAAGAAGAATATAGAACAGAAAATGAATAACATGTGCCGTAGAAGCCACTGTTTTGAAAGCAAATTCAGCACGATTTCAATACTAAATCGTGTGCAATCGTCGAAGAGGATTGGAATCGAAACCAGAGCTTAGAGATTTGAAGGAAAAACATAACATAAATTGTTATGGAGATAAGAGATTTGATTTCCTAAAATGGATGTTAGTTAAAATAACAAAGCATAAGAGAGGATGCTCAAGAACTCAAAGAACCAATTAAGAACAGAGCTAGCCTTTGTTAACCATGAGAGATTGGAAATGGGTGGATAGTTCATTTCCTAATGACATTAATGAAAATTAAGTTTGTGAAAAATGCGCACCGAGAAGAATGGTAGAATTTTTGGAGGGGTGCAGAGAAGAGTTGATGGGAGGTTGTTATATGGTTACCGACGATTTTTTTGTAATGATCAGTTAGGTTTTATTATTTTAGATTGGAATCCGCTTGTTAGCTCACACTCCTTTTGATGGGTTTGGTTTTCCTTGACTCTTCATAAAAATGAAAAGATATATAAAAATAAAAATGTAGACTGATAAATTCAGTTTGAACCACTCAAGTCTTGGCACTCTTTTAGACTTCCTGTTTATCAAAAAATTGCACTACTTCTCTTTTTTTTTTCAAATATAACATAAATGTAATCTATATTTTAAAATTTTGGTAATTTAATCAATAAAAACCTTACATGACAATGAATAATTTATGTTTTAAATCACACGTATCAAATATCTAACATTTTTAATAGGTTTATAACTAAGTGGACTTTCGATTTCATCCACAGACATACAACTTATCAAATAAGTGTAGCAATTAAGATTTGTTAAAAATAAAATATATATATATATATATATATATATAAATTCTTTTGATAAATTACAAAAAACCAGACCAATATAAATAGTAAAAGACTTCGGAGTATGTTTGGGATTGATTTCCCTTTCCAGAATCAAAATGTTTAGTAAATTAGAAAATTGATTTTAGGAAAACTTAATTAAATTGATTTTTAGATATCACTTAGATACTGATTTTGAAAAATTAATTAAACTTAAAATTTTAAGATAACTAATTCTATCATCGCTCCCAAAAAAATTTCTTTAGCAATCAAATGTAACAGAGTCAAGTATTGATCATGAGATGTGTTTTGTTAATGGTCGTGACTTGATTTTCGTCTAGGTTTCATGAGATTTTGGCACATAATTTAGATGTTATCCAAATAATAGAAAAGTAAAAGTTGTTCCATTCAATTAAATTAAACCAACGTAGGTATAACTCAGCGGTTAAATCATTAATCTCCCTTGGAAATTCAATTTTCCACCGGAATTAAAAGTTTTAAAAGGTGTCACGTTGGATTTGGAGAAAGAAAAAGGTGAATTTAAGGACAGGAAATTATGAATTTAACCTAGAAAACGTAGTTGAAGGAAAAAAGTTAAAAAAGGAAAGGGTAAAAGGGGAAGAAAATACTGACTTGATGATCAAAGAGGAGCGATGAGAGACAAAAATCCGTGGTCCTTGAACTTGCGGCCGCCGCTGCTGCCATATGCAACCTGAGGGGGACACTTATAAATGCGGGGATAAAAAGAAAATTAGGGCAGCCGATTAGAAAATAGAAATTTAAAAATAATCGATTTAATAAAAATTAGAGTCGTATTTTTTTTCAGATATATATTATTGGATAGTAGATTTAAAAATTGAGTTTCAAAAGTTAAAAAATCATTCAACAGAAATATATTTATAAAAAATAATATCAAAATTAATTTATTAATATTTTTATTATAAATTTTGTATAATTATTATTTTACAATGATATATAATATATAATATATTATATTTTAAATGTTTTAATTTTAACTAGATAAAATGATTTTATAATATGAAATAATATATTTATCAAAATTTTTATTTTTTTAATATAATTTTGCATTTTAAAATCTGAAAACACATAAGACTTTTGAGAATTTCTACATCACAGAATTTGAAAACAATTTTAAAAGAGAAATATGACAAATGTATACCTACTTAATCTATTTGATTAAGTGAATTTGAAAACCAGAAGAAATATAATCTAAATTGTCAACCAGCTTTTAGCTTCATATCGGTGATATTATATTGATATATTTTTAGGTTATAAACCATAAATTTATATTAAAAGTTTCTATTGTCTTACAAAATTTTAAATATGGATCAAAATGAGTACAGTAACCGAAACTGATGTTTTGAAAGTACAGAGACTAAAAGTAATAAAAGTTGAAAGTATAAAGATAAAAATAGATGTTTTAAAAATATAGGGATTAAAATGAATCAAAGTGGAGAGTACAACTTTTTTTAATATTTTATTGATTGATTTGTGAATATAATAAAAATATCAATTTACTTCTTACGTCGATGTCAAACTTATGGACATATGAAAATATGTGGATGATGAAAAATTAGGATTGTGGTTGGAAAGATAGAGATTATCATAATTTAAATCAAATCACTATTCTCTTGTTTTCTCTTAAATCTCTTTTTCAAGTCTTTAATTATTTCATTTCCGTTGATCATTTTAAAAATATCTATTTTAGTTTTTTTTAAGTCTCTTTGTTTTTTTTCTGTTGTATGAGAATTTGAACCTTCAATTTTAAGAGAATTAGTTGATGTCAATATTTCATTTGTCGTGGAGCTATTTTCATGTTCGCGATAAAGTGAAGTTATAAGTTTGTTCATTGCATTTCGAGAATTATATCTTAAATAAATTCTTTTTTTTTTAATAGAACATGTTGGGAAGGGGATTTGAACTCACAACATCTTGTTAGAGGTATATGTTGCTTTGGCTCTTAAATAAAATTTTTAAGTATTATACTTATTTATATTAGATATCGAATTAAATTTATCCAACTAATCAGCTTAAGCTTTTCATTTTAAAAAATAAAAGGTAAGCACTAAAATATTATTTTTTTTGTTGTTCTAAATTTTTTTTTTTGTTTGTTAAATTTTAAAATTAAAATAGATATTCAAAGTTAAGAACCTAAAAGGAGACAAATTTAAATTTTTTTATTATTAAAATAAAATTTGAACTTTATTTAAACAAAATAATATTTAAACTTAAATTTCATTTCATACTAACTTTAGAACATCTCTTCTAAAACTGGTCTCTTTTGACTTTAAAAATTAAATATTTTGGTAATCAACTTTCAAAATATATACCCTAATCTTCAAACTTTCGAAAAATAGTCATTTTAATTTTTATAAATATTTTTTGTTTAATTTTTGTCCACTTAATACACACCTCGCTAATATATATAACTTTAATAAATATTATTTAAAAGCAACATTATTTAGGATCGTATTTTATTTTAAAATTTTAGATATTAAAATAGACATTAAGTTTAAAATAAATAACTAAAATAACCTATATAAGTTAAAGATTAGTTATCAAGGCATCTTGCTCATTTTCCAAAGGTCCCAAGTTTAATCTCCAGGGTCTATATTTATTTTACTATAAAAAATTAAATAAATAAAAGACTAAAATAGACCATTTTATAAAATTGGAGAATCAAAATAGAATAATTCTAAAAATTGGGACCAAAATAAAATATTGTGATAAAATTTCAAATAATGTTTCTAAGCAGCCTACAAGTCTACAAAAATGAACTTAAAAGTCCACAATTTTCCTTTTTTTCATTTTATTTTCAACTTATGACGTCATCAACGCTCCGTTTCCCTATTTATATTCTTCGCTCTGGTTTTTCCTAACCCCACCTTTCTCTCTCCTCTCTCTCTCTCTCTCTCTCTCTCTCTCTCTCTCTCTCTCTCTCTCTCTCTACTGAGTCTAAAATGGAGTGCAGTGAGGCAAAATCGAACACAACTTCAACAATCCTCCGTTCTCAGTCGCCGTCACCGTCGCCGCCGCCGCCGCCAAGTATTCCGGCGGGCGTTGTGGTCAGTCCCTGCGCGGCGTGCAAGATTCTGAGGCGGAGATGCGCAGAGAAATGCGTATTGGCGCCCTATTTCCCTCCCTCTGATCCTTTCAAGTTCACCATTGCTCATCGCGTCTTCGGTGCTAGCAACATCATCAAATTGCTTCAGGTAACCTTCTAATTGATCTGTAAATTTCTGTTGTTAAGTTTTCGCGTTAACTTTCTGATTGTTGTTGATGAGATTGTGAAAATCGAAAGATAATCATAGAACCGTAATGAAACCGTCGAATTACAGAACGATTTGGAACGAATACTGTTCGCGTAAACAGTAAGGCCAAATTCATCTATGGCCAATGCGTCTTGAGGAAAACGAAAACAAAATGGAGTTTGTGAAACTGTGTCTCACGTTTTCGTTGATTAATGAATTAATCGAGCGAATCACGATCGAGTGGAACTGTTGTCTCTCTAGAGGCAATGAACACGCATGGGGCTCACACACAACTTTTCCAATCCCAATAAAATGTCCTTATTCTGCCTGGAAATCTGAAAAATACGCAACCGTAATTTGTTTGTGTTTTTCCCCCTCAATGGCCATGTGGAGCAATTATAACGAAACGTCATCCAAATTTTAGAAGAATCAAACACAGCACCCCACCTGTTTGCTTTTTGTCCTCACAGAACAGCCAATCAATCATGTCACAATCTCTGTTCCTCCGCAATTCAAACCACAAACACTTCTGACACCAATTACTCTAATGAATTCTTCAGGATCTTCCCGAATCACAGAGGGCCGATGCAGTGAGCAGTTTGGTGTACGAAGCAAGTGCAAGAATCAGAGATCCAGTATATGGGTGTGCAGGAGCCATTTGCCAGCTCCAAAAACAGATAAACGAACTCCAAGCAGAGTTAGCCAAAACACAGGCAGAGCTTGTCAATATGCATTGCCACCAAGCCAGTTTGGTGGCTCTGATTTGCAAGGAATTAGCTCAAACCCCGCCACCGGTGCCGCCGCCGGACCACCGCTCACTTGACAACAATTTCAACATTGCCACTCCTCAGAGCTACCAAAACTACACACCTTTCTTGGAGGATAGCAACATTTGGGAGCCTCTTTGGACATGAAAACTAGAACAGGGCTGCAAAAGGGGGCAGAGATTTCTCAGACAAAAGCATTGGGAAGTCAAACTTGATTGGTTTTAGTTAAAAGTAGAATATATGAAAGGTTTGGTAGTTGAATTTTGGGCAATTTTTAGGCAGTTGTTAGGTTAGATGGGTTGGGTTGGGTTCCTCCTTTGCTCCCTTAAAACCAAGAAAAGTGGAGTGAAGAAAAAGGAATGATGGTTACTGGAAGTGGAGTAGATTATTAATGCAAAAGTATTGAAGTCTTAGTATATATCTTTTTGTTTTCTTTTTTTGGTTACCTACCATTAACTTCTTAACATTGATGTGTCAAGAAATATATCTTTTTCAAGCTGTGCTTCCCCCTACTTGAAAGTGACCAAAGATGTTCCTTTGCTTTGATATGAACTTTATGGAGCAAATAAATAGTTAAATGTATAATTACTTACCATGATACAATCTTCTTCTTCCTCCTCGTGTTTCTATTTATTAACGGTTAAAGTATTTCTATTATATTGAAGAGGTCTAAGTTCGAATTCTAACTTTACTTATGCTGTAATATTCTAAAAAAATATATATATATGCTTAATGTTAAAATGTTGATATAATTGACTATTGAAATCTAAATTTGAATAAGTGGTCAAAATATATATAGAGATGATTAATAATGGGTGGGTAGTCGGATTTACAACCTCTTAATTGGAGATATATGCCAATTAATATTGAGTTATGCTCGTTTTTGCTAGTTGGGTTGTATTCTAATTAGCAATAAATACATTTAATAGTTAGATTTTTTTTTAAAGATTTGTGTCTAAATATTGTTTTTGTGTCAACTTGAACATAGTTTAGCTCTTACTTTTACTAAGAGGTCATGTAATATTCTAAAAGAAAAAAAATAATTTTGTAATTGAGTTTTGAAATTTTATTTATGGCACAATTTTTTAAACTTAGTTTTGAGGTTGATAATTTTGCCAGTGTTACAAATGTAAATTCTCACCTAAACAATTTAAAAATAAATCATTTTCACATTTTATATTGCCCATGTTGTTTTTTTAGGAAGAGTATATTGCGGATGTTGAATATTAAAAAAAATTAATTATTATTTTTCAATTTTCAAAAGACGGCTCTATGAAGCGTTGGTGAGCCAAAAAAATAAAATGAGGCTTTTTATTTTTCCTTTTTAATAATTACTGTCTCTTTTCTTTATAAAAAGCTACGCTCACTTTTAAATTTCTTCTTTCCTTCGATCCTTTCCTAATGTAATTCTTAATTGTTTAATTATTGGAAAAAAAAAACAAAAAGGAAAAAGAAACGGAGAGGAAGAGGGGGAAAAAAAATCGTGACGTACATGTGGGTCCCACATTTTTAAAAACTGTCCGCTTGAACTTGAGTTTATTATGGACCATTGGATCAGACACGTCACGTGCTGGACACTGATCTGTATCTCACGCAATCATCATTAATTTGTCTCTTAAACGCGTTTTCTTTTTCATAATGATCCCTCTCCACGTGCCCCTCACGCACGTCAAGCTCCAATAAAGTATTGCCACGTGGTAATCATCCATGGACCGCGGTACATGATTTTCTAAGTTTCAAGTGGATTGAAAAAGAGGAATTTCAAAATAGCAAAAAAGGAAATATGTATTTGTATATATACATATATAGCATTAATTAAGTCCAAAATGTTACAAAGATGTCATAAATTGCATTGGGATTTCTTTTAAGCAATTGCATTGAGATTTATAAAAAGCTCAATTTCTTACTTAATAAAAGTTCATAATTTGTGATGTTTAYGGAAAAGAAAAAGTAATGATATTTTTATAAATACTTATTTATTTTCTATCATTTATTATTTTTAATGAAAAGTATTTCGGTGTTCAACTACACACCTATCTTTTACAAACCACCATTAAATTTTTTATTTTTTTATAGGCAGGAGAGAGAATTATTGTTTTTTAAAAAGCTAAAAACTGTTAAAATTTTATTAGTAGGTTAGTACTCATAAATAACTTAATATTGTCCTGAGTGGAATATATACCGTTCAAACACTTTTTGACAGTTTTTTTTTTTTAATTATAGGCTAAATATATGGAATTGTATTTATCCTAGCTTTTAGGCCATTTTTAAATCAATTATTAATATTTTAATTTTTAAATGATATATAATTAGTTAATATAAAGTGCATGAGTCATTAAATTGTTGTTTTATCGACATATTTTCAAATTACTAGAAAAATGCTAATTTTGCTCATCAGTGGTGTAAGTTAGGTTTTATGGGTTGCCCAAATATGTTAAATAAAATAATAATACATCAACCGTTTCTAACCGATGTTAATATTTTTTCCAATGGAAAAACCTAATTTAAAATTTTAAAACATTAAGGATAAAATTATAATTTTAAAAAAGTTCAATAGAAACCATTTAGTATGTTAGCCTAAATAATTATAAGGCTTGATTTATGTACTTCAAGATCGTATTTATTTAGTCTCCTACCTTTATAAAAATTGTATAGGTCTCTCAACTTCTATGTTTTTGTGTATTTATTTCGCTGTACTTAAAAAAAAATTCTAATAAACTTCTAAATTTAAAATTATTTTTATCGTGTCAAATAATACTTATGCCATGAAATGCTTGAATCAACATAAAGTTGCCCTAAGATAGAATGAATTAACTAATCTGGTAGAGGAATATTATAAGGAGAAAAAGAAAACAAGATGTTGATTAATTTGAACCCAATTGTTTCCTTGAATTTTGTTTTCTCTATAATGCTTTCAAATAATTGTCTCCTGAGATAAAATGAATTTTTTAGAGAATATTTTTTCTTTTTTCAAAACTAAAATAGAACCACCTATTTATACACTAGTTGTGTGACACGATTTTATATCGAGGTCTCAATTTCATGGAAATATCGATAAAATGTTGATGTGGATAGATATTTCTGTAAAAGTTAAAAATATMAAAAAAACGTAAAACAATATTTAAATTAACAATCCTATTTATAAATTAGTTAAAAATAATTAATATTAATATTATGTATATATTAGTGACATTTTGTTGATTTTTTTTCATATTTTGTCGATTTTCTTGTACGATGGAAATGTTGATATTCATCCTTCATGGATATGTTGATGGAAGTGTCGACGGGTATTTTTTTTCCTTTTAGAATCATGGTTGTGTCATTCAAATAGTAATATCTTTTCGTATAAAGTTGTCTTTCAGAAGAAAGAATATATTCTTTCATATAAGTTGTATCTTTTTACCAAATACATCCTCTCACAAAAGTTGTGGTTTTTTATTTATTATTAAAAATTTTATACAAAGATTCCAACCATCCTCGGCTGGAATAAAATTTATTTAAAAATCTCAAACAAATAAAAATTAACAATTACTCACGAAAAATAACTAGTAGTGTAAGATTGAACATTCCTTTTTAAAAATTTATAGTTTATAGTTAATCAATAGGCAAAAGACTTTTGAACAGCCTACTTTAGAGTAAATGAATTCTGTAATAATTAACATATTTGTGTCTCCTCTTAAAGTTAGCCTTGAACACCACCCAATTCAGAACTGTTTTAGAGAATTTCGAAAGAATAAGAATTGTTATAGAGAACAAAAACGACCTGAAACAGGACAAGGAGTTTCAGCCTGAGATCATCGATTGGGGGAGACCGGTCCGCGACGTAACGGGTCGGCCCAAAGAACGACCTAGCGCCGAGGCAAAGAACGAGGAAAGTGACCGGCGGAGAACCAACCGGGCTGAGAGGGTTCGGTCCAGACCTCTGCTTGGTCCCGACCCCTGATCGGCCCACGACCCAGCCCGTGAGTCTCCAGCCTGTGATCAACGATCCCTCGGGCTCGGCAACACTGAATTAGGGTTTGGCTACGGAGGTTCTGGAATCATCTTCACGGCTATAAGTAGCAGTGAGATCCAACCCTGATGAGGCAAGTGACTTATCCCTAGCTAACTATTTTCTCAACTCTCGCTCGCTAACTTAAGCATCGGAGCCCGTGTGACTAAGGTCACACCGGTTTAGATCGGTTTGATTTTGCAGGTATCGGTTCCCTTATCATCGAGTTAGGTGTGTGCGAGAAGAAGAGTCGGAGGGTCAAAATCCATGCATAAACAATTGGCGCCGTTTGTGGGGACGATACAGTAAAGCAAGCTTCGTTGAAGCGAAATCCCGATCCGAGCGAAATTTCGATCCGAGGCGTGTAGAGTGAAACGACCGACCATTCGGGTGAGGTAGGACCTAGCCCTGATCATCGACTTGATCTGAAAGCGACATGAATCCTGATGAGAGCCATTAATGCTTCGAAAAGAAGAGCCTGGAAGAAGCAGCCGATCACTCGGGTGAGGCAAGACCAAGCCTTGATCATCGTCTTAATCCGACCATCCTTGACAGGGGAGAACCAATGTCGGGCTTGAATGAAGCTACAGACCTCTCGGGTGAGGCAAGGTCGAGCCCTGGTCATCGACTTAATCCGACCACCCTTGACAGGGGAGAACTAGTGACGAGCCTGAATGAAGCAACTGACCTCTTGGGTGAGGTAACACCGAGCCCTGGTTATTGACTTAATTCGACCACCCTTGACAGGGGAGAACCGGTTGAGGAGGCAGAATCTGTACCTCTGACAGCCGAAGATCAATGGGTCAACATCAGAACCAGGTTAGGGGATGAGGAAAGAGAAAGCCTTATAAACTTCCTCAGAAGCAACGCCGACGTGTTCGCATGGTTGCCGGAGGATGTGCCGGGAATCGAGCAAGGAGTCATGGTATATCGACTCAATGTCGACGACAGCTGTAAGCCAGTGAAACAGAAGCGTTGCGCTTTTAACCAAGAAAGGAACGAGATTGTAACTGAACAGGTGGAGGAACTACTGAAAGCAGGCTTCATTCAGGAAGTACATTATCCCCAGTGGATATCCAACGTAGTGCTGGTAAAAAAGCCAAACGACAAATGGAGAATGTGCATCGACTTCACGGACCTAAATAAAGCCTGTCCAAAGGATTCTTTTCCTTTACCTCGAATAGATCAACTGGTTGATGCCACTGTAGGACATGAAAGATTGAGTTTCATGGATGCCCAACTTCCTTCAATATCCATTAGCTTGGTTCCTTACCAACTCTGTTTTCTAAATCCAAAACTGGATGCCAAGCGACTTTGATAAAACACATTGCCTCGTCTACAAACATACTCTTAAAGGATATCGACAATACACTACCTTGAGAGTAGGGGGCAATAGGTCATGACCGACTCAGCGACGCAAGCTTGGTAGAACCAGCCCGAGCAGAGCAGGCTGAGCAGGGCTCGGGTTCGACCCAGCCGAGCACATCACTGCTCGGCGCCGACCAAGTGCAATGAGGCACAAATCTAAATTA